CTGATCACGGTACGTCCATTGTTCATTGAGCAGCAAGTTTCTCGCTGTGGATTTGGATGGGTTTGGGGCATTTTTGGATCGAAACTTGGGATATTTAAGGGATGATTTCAGCCCTAAACAGTTGTGACTTTCAGATTTTGGGGTGATTCAGCAAGCCAGCAGGTTTTCTACCTCATTATAGGGGCGACCTTCGCCAGTACCATTATTTGGGGAATCTTTGCGTGGAGGGCTGGTCTGAACACAAGCATTCCGCTCACCCTTCTAGCGCTTTCGCCCTTGTTATTCATCGTGCATACCAACCGGAAACTGATGATGGAAAAACACCAGACAATTTCTGGGCTGAAAAAATTCAACTTGGCTGACGTCCATTGTCGGCTGGACAAGGACAGGGTCTTTATCCTGACTGCGATTTCTCAGTGGTATGGGAGTGAAGAGTCTTTTGTAGACTACGTCAAGGGGCCTTTACACAGAGAAGTGGTAGCAGCGGCTACAAATCGACTCCCTTTCCATTATGCCTTGTTGACAGTGTTGATTCCATACAGTGTCAGTTTGGACGTTCTGGTTGCTCTCATTGGCGCCGGAGCACCTTCTGAGGCGATCCTGTCAGAATTAATAGGTTCAGGCTTTGGGTGGGTTCTTTGTTGGCAGTTGGTATCTGCTAAACTGCTATGGGTACTATGTGACAAACTGGCCGCTCCCAGAAGTTCTCGTGTCTTGGACTATTTGGTGAGCTTGTTGATTTTTCTGGCATACTTCATCTTCGTATTTGCCGGATATGTGATTTCTGATTTGCTGTATTCCACAAGCATGTGGGCTGGCTTCGCATTCGCTGGCTTTGCTTCTCTTTTGGTCTTGTTAAGTTACAGATTGTGAGTCGAGAACGCGCGGCTTGGTGGCTGTCTTAGACATACTACGCAGGCGCGTACTTCGTTTTCTGCCAGATTTGCCAGGGCGTCAATTTCTGACATAGGCTACAGAACAGCAACCTTTCGCAGTGCATATGGGTACCCATATAGCTGCATGACTTTCAGCGGCCAAAAGGGTGTCTTCTTTGCGGCTGTCATAGACATGCTGCCTTTGAGAGGACATGTCAAGAGTGTCAGGGGTGCCATTGCAATATCGGTGGAGGATCCAATTTGGTCCCCCAAAGATAGAATGCCAAAGTATCAAACGTGTCTGGGAACGATTAAAATCTACCAATTTCATCCAATTTCTATTTGGGTCCCAGTGTGTTGAAAAAATATTGACCTATACTCCTAGGTCGACCCTTCAAACTCAGTCTAGATAAAAATAAATGTAGACTTTAAATTACCTAGGATTGTGCTTGAATCTAGGTAATTTAAAGTACTTTTGAATTACCTACTATGTAGACTTTAAATTACCTAGACTTTGAAGTCTTGTCCGGAAATTGTCCTGCTTTGAGGTCTTGATCACATGGGTAACAGATGGTAACATATGGTAACAGTATTGACCACGAAGCTTTCTCACATGGGAACACGGTCGAAGCCAAAGTGGTTGGGTGCTGATTGAACCGTCCAATTGTGATCATACTCATGAGCCAGCACTTTTTCGGGGCGTTGGCTCTTCACCAGACTGGAGGCCCATCTGATGAAGCCAATGCCGTCGCTATCAGACGTCAGGTCCGCTATGGACGAGGCCGCTGCGCAACGCGCAAAATGAAGGCAGCCGAAATCGGGTGTGACATGCAGCAAGTTTGTGGCGCTTCGCATGGCTTGGGCTTGGTGTTTGAGAGTTGGTGACTGTTGGTGAGATTGTTGGTGGTTTAACAATGTTTAACAGCTGTCTCAAAACTTGCCCAGAGTCGGTCGGGTGGTTGATCATCATTTCTCCAATCTGCAGAAGCAATTTGGGCTTCAGAACTCCAGGTAAACACTTCCTTGATCAAAAGATATCAAAAGTGAGGTCACACTGATCGAATGGTCATCAAGTCTTCAGACAAATCATTGCCTTATTTTTCCACGTTTCGCCTAGCAGTCGGACCAAGGAAATTGAGGTGCACCTTTTTCGCGTGGGACGCACAGTTTCTTTTCATGAAATGGTTGGGTTCACAGCCCGATCTTGTTGGTGAACAGCTCCAGTATGATTTGAGCCATGGATCGTGCCGCTTAGCTTATGACAGAAAAAGGTGATGGTGGTTATGGTGGTTACTAGGACAAGCATGAGGGAAAACCATGTCAATGGATTTCCATCCATTCCTGTTTCTATGGCTCTCCAGAAATTGGAGAGGCTCCCAACATGCGCAACATGCTTCTCCCAAACTACTCGTATCATCTAGTTAAACTCCCAAAACATCATCTTCAGGTGCTAGGGACACTTTCCTTCTTGGGGAATTCTTCTTTCATATGGACAAAAAAGCATTACAAAAGGCGCCCGTCATCGCTCAGCAGGGCTTCCAGCTGGTCTTCACGCCCAGCTGGTTGGTGATATGAAAGTTCTCACTGACAGTTTAATCCTACATTTATCTTGGTTCACAGCGTCTTATAGCTGGTATATCATATCGTAGTATAAAAGTAGAAGTAGACTAAGTAGACTCTGTTTACAGCGTTTTTTTCTTGGTTCAGCTACATTCTTCTTGCCCATGACAAGTGAAGAAAGTGGTGAAGATGCCAGTGCTCTTCCTGGTTCTGAATGTTTCCGGGAGTTGAAACCACCGTATCACTCATAGTCTCATAGTGATGACTGGACTGCTTACTGGTATTGTCATACTCATGAGTGACTCATGAGATTAATCCAACCGTTCCTTATCATTGGTCTTAAACAGTAGTATTGAATACATCCATAGTAATGAGAATCATGATGCAAAAGAAAGCTATACCCCCCATATAAGGATCTACTTTGCCACTATAGTCCGAAAAAGTTAATCTACCATCCAGTTGGCACAACATCTTAGTGTTGATAATTGATGACTACTTCGCATGTACAGCATGTACATACAGTATTCAGTATTAAGCATCCGTGGCCACTTCCTATTGAACGCCCCCATTCCACGGTCGCAAATATGTGTGATATTACCCCCCTAAGTTACATCTACCATGGGTTCTGCAGGGTGTTTAAGGGCTGAACGGGAAATGGGATTAAGATGGATTATAAGTATAAGTAGGTTGTATCCATGCTTATTAGTGAGAAAAATGGGTTTACATAATCCGTTTATTACGGTGGGAGCCCAACCCGCTGACTAACTTTCCCATTCTCATATCCATATATATATATAATCCATTTTCTTCCACATGATTATATATATATATATATCATTAAAAAAAAAAACATCCCATTGCCTATATATGTATATATATATGTATACACCCCACATAACTATTGGAATTATTTCCCATGTTTCCCGCCAGGAAAACACGAACTATTTATTTCCCTTGAGCAATCTCGCTAATTGTTGGGCTTTTCATGAAAATATCATTGAATATCCCTTTAATATATATATATATACCACATATCCCATGACATATGTTCCAATGTCCCATACCCCAATGATTTCCCAACATTGGCATGGCTTGGACATATATAGCACTAATATCCACCTTATTTTTGATATTTCCCATATAATATCCCATGAAATAGCCAGATAATCTCATTGTTTTTTTTTGCCAAAACAAAACAACAAATGCGTATGAGTCAAAATTGGATACCCTAATATTTCGATTGTTGATACAAAACATAGACAAAAAATAGACATTCCAATCGGTGCTCCCCTGGGTAAATCTTGACCCATTCCCATTCATCGCCCTGTCCCCAGGCCTGGTGGTTGATCTCTGCCGCCATACGAGAGCAGGATGCCCTGGCAGCCGTGCGTGCGGAGGCGCCGGACCGGGCAACGAAAAAAATGGATCGAAATCAGGATCGAAAGATGTCATAGACATCTCAGAAACGCATCAAACAAAAACAACTCACACTATTTTTGTAAAAAAAAATCGGATGTACATGACATATCATAGCATCCAACATATATCAGCATCTGTTTTCGATGCGCTTCGGAACACGTTCCAGTGCCAGGTGCATGCAGAGATCAAGGAGGGCGGTAAGGTGCGAAAGGGGGCCTTTTCCATTGCCACATTTGATTGCCAGAGGGAATGTATGTAGTAATGTAGTATATGTATATAACATAATTTATAAGTATATAATACTATAATATGTATATATATATATATATTCGGGTTTATATTGATGGGTAATTTCAATGCAACTGCAAAGTGGTGGTTTGGTTTACGTAGCGATAATCCCTAAAAATCGGTGCTTTCCAGGAATCCAAATCAACAAACAGGTTTGATACTGGGGCTACTGGGGTAGTGGGCAATTTTTTTTCTGTACTAGTTATTCTATCATCCCCATCTATCATCTTTTTGTGGCTTCGAAAAGGTGGTAAACTCAATTTTCCAGATCGGATGGGCCTATGGGACAATTGTGGGAGAATATTGGCCGCACCAACTCCATAGGTCTATCATCAGCTTCCCCATTTTTCAGGCTGCCAATTGTTGGATCTCCATTTTCAGACATATCAGACAGTGTTGGTTGTATATCCCATGATATTCCTATGATATGTCCCATGATGGGACCCATGAAAATCTCACTATTTTGATGACATTCCCATGATATTCCCATGATATTCAAAAGATATTCCCGTGATATTCCCATGATATTCCCATGGGACACCAAACAGGGATATTGAAGGGAATATCATGGGGGTCATCAAGATATTTATGGTCATCAAGATAGTGGGGTATATTCCCATGATCATTGGATTGGTTTAAGGGACAATCTACAGGAAACTATGGTTTTGACCATAAAATATGGGGGGTTCCGGTTCCAATTGTCCCGGAAAAACAAATCCAACGATCATGATATTCCAATGATATCTCCCATGATATCTCATTATAGCCCACTTTCTTCATGACATTCTCATAGTATTCCCATGATATATCCCATAATATTCCAATGATATCTTTGGTGATCTATCTCTGTTTGCAGCGCAAATCTCCAGGCCCTGTCAGCCCGGCAGCGGGAATTGACCAGCTGGCAACAGGTGGGAACTCGGGTTTTTTGACCCTGGGGTGAACTCTCAAACCCATGGTTTCCGATGGGAAAAGTATAACATCTATCTACACCAGAGGGGGTTTTCTGAGAATCTATGTTAGTTCACAGGAGGGTACTGTAACAACTTAACAACCCCCAAAATAAAGAAAACAAACACTTGGAGAACATATGGTCCAACTCCCATCTCGGCAACGCTTTTCGGCATCTTGTTGGGGGCTCCTGTCTATCATGATATGGGATATATGATGATATATGATACATTTGTGATTTACCCTCTGGAAAATTTGTTACACAGCTTTGGAAAGTCAATGCATGATTCATTTAGTTCGATGATTTACCTGTTAAACAAGTTGATTTTCTATAGCTATGATGAATTACCAGAGGGTAACCAACAATACTGTAATGGGCCATGGGATTCAAATGGGATATTCATGGAATATGATGGACTTATAACACCAGCAGTGTGATATTTGGATATATTCGGATCACTTAAGCAGGACCCGTGTTTTGGAGTATCTGAGATATCTTTGTGACATAAATGGATAGGCACCAAAGATTTAATTCTGATCGCTCCTGGGATGAACATGGACAGAGAAAATAGCAATCCCAACATACACAAGTATATACAACCTCAGAATGATTTTTTTGAGGTGTCCAAAACACATGGAGCTTGTCCTGTTGCTGAAGAAACCGCGGTTCTTCACGACGGAGACGGCAGAATGGTTGGAGTCAGGATGTTGATCCCTTTGCTGCCGTCTGGTCAACTTCTTCTCCAAAAAAATCATCTCAACTTCTCATAAATTTGTCGTCATGATTGTAATTAGGGGATATTACGGGTGTTTTTGGTTGGCAAAAAATGGCCAGCATCACAAGTTTGGCTTTGGAACATGCTCAAATTCTTGCACATGTTTGCTCGAATTTCATCCAATTTCGCTGGTTCAAAAGTCAGTTGGCTATGGATCAATACCTATTAATACCATTTTTAGTGGGATGAACATCCATTTACCAGCTATTTTGGGGTTCACTAGGTACCAGGGTTTTGACCCATCCCCAGTTTTTGCGGATTCAAAATCCAATTTTTCGCTGCACATCATCCTTAAATGGAAGCCGCTCCAGGGCGACGTGGTACCACCCATCCTGGGTCTCTTCTGTGGCTGCGGCTGCATTTTGCTGTGCAGAAGGCGGGGCGTGCTATCTTGTTGAGAACTTGGAGATGCCATTCCTCAAATTATAGGGAATTTATAGTGATTTAATGGGATTTTTTATAACATAGACCCTGCCATTTTTTTAGAAGGGTAAACTACATTCCTCTGACTAAAAATTACTTTACTTCGTGTGATCCCCACCATGACATTTATACATTTTCTTACTGGCAAATCTTCTGGCATTCTATCTGACATATCTTCTGACATTCTATTTGACATTCTATCTGGCATATCTTCTGGCATTCTATCTGGCATATCTTCTGGCATTCTATCTGGCAAATCTTCTGGCATTCTATCTGGCATATCTTCTGGCATTCTATCTGACATATCTTCTGGCATTCTATCTGGCATTCTATCTGGCATATCTTTCTGGCATATATTCTGACATATCTTCTGGCATTCTATCTGGCATTTCTTCTGGCATATCTATCTGGCATATCTTCTGGCATATCTATCTGGCATATCTTCTGGCATATTTTCTGGCATTCTATCTTCTGGCATTCTATCTGGCAAATCTTCTGGCATTCTATCTGGCATATCTTCTGGCATTCTATCTGGCATATCTTCTGGCATTCTATCTGGTATATCTTCTGGCATTCTATCTGGCATATCTTCTGGCATTTCTTCTGGCATATCTTCTGACATTCTTTCTGACATTCTTTCTAACTTTCTTCTGCACATTCTTTGTCCCATATCTTCCTACATGAGGTCCGGCAGGGAACACTTGGCGTGGATACTCGCGGTTGAGGTCCGGCAGAGAACACTGGGCGTGGATGGTCGTGGTTGAGGTCCGGCAGGGAACACTGGGCGAGGATGGTCGTGGTTGAGGTCCGGCAGGGAACATTGGGCGTGGATGGTCGTGGTTGAGGCCCGGCAGGGAACACTGGGCGTGGATGGTCGTGGTTGAGGTCCGGCAGAGAACACTGTGGATTGCGGGTCGCAGTTGAGCAAGGACGACGAGGACGACGAGGACGACGAGGACGACGAGGAGGACGAGGAGGACGAGGAGGAGGAGGAGAGGAGGACGAGGCAGGAGGAGGCGGAGGAGGAGGAGGAGAAGGAGGAGGAGAAGGAGGAGAAGGAGGAGGAGGAGGAGGCAACTGACATAAAATCTAACAACCCTCACCTGGCAGGTGGGGAATTAAAGTTTGGATTCTCAGGGTCACCCTGGTTGTTGCGGGGATCATAGATCACGATTGATCTGCTTGAATTATTTTATGGTCAGGACCGAGCCGCTCGGAGCTATGTGTACCGTATCCATATTTCCCGTATTTTCTGAGCCAAGGAGCTTATGAATTGAATTGTCAACATATACATACATGCCAATGCATGCACCCATCCACATACATACATACATACATACATACATACATACATACATACATACATACATACATACATACATGATCATACATGCATGCATGCATGCATGCATGCATGCATACAGACAGACAGACAGACAGACATACATACACACATACATGAAATGTTGTAAACCAACTTCGCTATCCCCATATCTTTTGAAGAACTTCACATTTTCCCATGGTTTCCTATCTAGGAGGTCCGGACCTTGTCCTGAATCCTGGCAGTGGTAGGCTGCGCTTCTTCGCCACAGCTCCGAGGCAAAGCCATCATTTTAGCTGTTTCACGGTGATTTCATGGGATATTTTGGGATATTTTGGGGGATTTCATGGGAACTTTACCATGAAAATTTGGAGGATAAAAGGAGGATATGATCCAGAAATGATGCTTGGTTGATCATGACTAGGCTTTTCAAAAAGGGATATTAGGGGAATCCGAGCCAGTGTGGGATCAACATGGATTAACCCGAGTTTTGGCCATTGAAGAAGGGGAAACATAGTGATACCAAAGTTGTTTGGGATACATGATTTTCAGACAAACCCAAAATAGGTAGGTTGTCCAAAAATAAAACACTGGTCTACTATTTTTTTAATTTGATGTTGATACGTGATTGTGGTTTAGGTTCTTTGGTGATTTTGATAGGTCAGGTGATTGCAGCATATTGATCATATTGCAGTATTCCATGGCATCCCCCATCTTGACAGCAACTGCTATTCATGAACGAAAACGGTGAAACAAAAGCATCCATATAAGCCATATTGGGGGGTCTTGAACCGTTTGGCTATCCATTTCGGCTGTTTATTGCTCAGCCATGGCAAGAGATGATCGTTGACAGTCCCAAGTGCCTGGATCCCGAAGAGTCATGGGGACACCACATTCAACAGCAACAAATCATGTGCTGTCCGCAGCTGTTCGAGAATTTGGAGCATAGAAAGTGCTTCAGCGTTCATTGTTCGCAACCAACATGTTCAATACCCTCTGGTAAATAAACATAGACCCTGAAAATGACCAATTTATAGAGGAAACTAATCTTCCAACCCCTATCTGCCAGGGTCTATGTTAATTTACCAGAGGGTACATTTTCCGCAATCATGGGGTTGATTTACCGCAAAATCTGCAGGAACACACGGAACCGATACACATTTTTCTACAGTGATCGCCCTAAGACATCCTCAGCTGATATGACAGACCCTGCGCCATGAAGCTGTCCTTTTCCTTCTCCAAGAAGGCTCTGGTGTGTCCGAAAATGGGGGAATTTCGGGGTACGCAATTCTGCTGTATCAAACATGGCTGGCAATGGGAATTTCCCTAACTAAACGGGACTTGAAATGTGAAAATCATCAAACTAAATAGGGGATTTTCCAGCAAACCATGTTTGATAACCTGATGGTATACTGAATCATAGCATAAATCAGAACCATGTAGCATTGCACTCATAATTTGGCATAATTTGGCCAAAACCCTGGTAATTTCCCCATTCCACAGTCATTCCGCGGAGGCAGAGCCCAAAAGAGTGGTACCAGCACTGCAAACCAAGCCGAAGCCGGAGACTCGACGGCATATGGCGACCAGGTCTGGTGATGAATTTACTGTGCCACGTTGTGGGAAAGCCAAGGCCATAAACCTACCATGACTGGGGATGGTTTATACTACGCATTTATGGTGACTTTTGGGATGGCTTATTGTTGGGTTTACCATATTAAATGATATGTATAAAATTCTATGTATGTAACATCTGTATGTATATAATATTACAGTACAGTCATGTACAGTCTGTATTAATATTTTCGGTACTCTTTTTACAATATCATGTACAACATGCACAGACGTCATTTCTGCAGTCCAGGATTCTGGATCGATGACCGGGAAACTGGCGACTCGTTGTCGCTGTACTTGTTGTCCACATGAATGTTGTTGGTATCATAGGATATTCCTCTTAGATAGGGGCAATGCCGGCTATGATATGTTGGTTCACATGCTGATTCTTGTTGAACTCTCCTCATTGTAACTGGACAGATTTTTTGCTGTACATAGCCTATGAATCCCCTCTTTACGTCTGACTGCTTTAAATATATTACATATATGATAATCACGTATGGATGTATGTAAAACTTCAGTTACACCGAGTTAGGTCTCTTATTGTCCAGGGTCTTTTTATATGGGTATGGATCAATACCTATTAATACCATTTTTAGGGGAATGAACATCCATAAATCCCAGCTATTTTGATGTGAACTACAGGGGTACAAGGTTTTGACACACTGCCATATAAGCCTTTCCTGACGATGTTTCTGCATCTTAGTGGCTTAGGATGAAGGGAAGGAGATCATCACTTCTCTGGAAGGCGGTGAGGTGAAGATCGATGGTCGCTCAATCCGCGGAGTTTGGGATGATCCCGTTGGCAACTGCGAACGGGACTGTGGGTGATGACCCTTTACAAGGGTTTTCCTAGATTACATTATATATATTTTTTTCTATAATGTATATATATATATATATTTACATATGTATATAATCTGTATATACATATTATATAATTTATATATTACATTTTTACTATGATTCATGTAATTACATGATATACTTGATCATCTGAGGGGACACAACGGATGCAGCACTAGGATGATTCTCCAATCTACCGCAGCAAAAACGGGTAGTTTTTCCCAGCAGAAAAAGGGCGTTAATAGATATATATATATATATACATATATATATATATATGTACATATAGATATATCTATATATATATAAATATGTATATGTCTGTGACATATGATAAATTTCCTTTGGAAACCTGGCTTGTTTTCCATATCCATGTGTTAATTTACTAGAGGGTACCAGTGTACCAATGTCTACCATGTTTTCGGGTTGGAGTGTTCAGTTCTAACCATCGATACATGGGAGTGGGAAGTGCTTGACCCAAAAGGTGGGTGTTTGGTGCTGAAAAGAAAACCAGCGCCCTTTGGCACCCAGGTTCCACTTATCAGTGTATATTATATATATATTTACATAGTTATAGGGTGTATATATATATATATATGTATCTCAACTTATGGTGGTTACAATCTCATGGTATTCTATCCAATTGTTTCCACCCCCAACTGCACCCCGAAGTAGTGTCTGTCACTTCCCCTGTCTGTCAACCAAGGTAAAGCGGAACAAGCTAAAGCCTTCACCATCCCCTGCAACAACCCGCTGAAGGATTGGGATGTGCTAAAAATAATGGTGGACGTCTGACAGATCAACTTGCAAATTGTGGGACATTTCTGACAGATCAGCGAATTTGGGAATTGTCTGATCTGTCGATTCATTTTCCGAAGTTGGAGGTGTTTTTTTTGATCATTGGATCATCCGACTTTTTCCACGACATTTTCTGGAGTGCCAGTGGGGGGTCCCTCTCCGCCCAAAGCAGCAGGAACCATTCCCATATCCCAAAGTCTGGTAAATGATCATTTGTGGTCCCACCAAAAAAAAAGGTATCTATATAAGTTGTAGGATTTTGATGACGGGGTTTACATGGGTCTACCATATGCAAAGGTGATGGAGCTCGCTTTGTCACCTGCCGCCGTAGCCGCGGCCAGATGCAGACGCAGAAGCTGAGAAATGAACCCACTGCAGCTGCCAAGGCGAAGGCGGCAGCGAGACGCCGGGAAAGTTGTTTTTTGGGGAATCATGGGAGAGAAAAGGTTTGTCAAATGTGCCACTATTTTGAGAGGACTTCATACTTTTCATTACTTTTTTTGGAGATGTTGTCGAACTTCTGGAGGAAACGAAATGTTTTTTTTGACCAAGATAGTGGGCATAGTGAAGTCATGGTGTAGATCTGACCTTTGAATTGGATTGGAGTCCCACTTTTTGAGCCTTCCACGCGGGAGATCGCGATCCCGGCCAGGTGAGTGCTACCCCTGAGTCCATCCAAGATGGGAAGGTGCCGGTGGCATCTGAAAGTCATGGATGATCATGGATTTTGGCAGAGATTTTTTTTAAAATGTTGAAATCAATCCTGAGAGCCAAACCATCACTTGGATGGGGATCCAGTCATGTAGGGTTTGGACTTTGGACATGTCCATTCATGAAAGTACAATGAACCGCAGTGCTGGTAGGGGGGCCTGGTGTTGCCGAAACTTCAGCAGCAGCTTTCGGCAGATGTTTCTCGGCAGATGTGAACTTCTTTTCGGTGCCCAAAAGGGTGTTCCATAGAGGGATTTCAAATGTACGCACGATTAAAAAAACAAGAACAGATGTGTGTAGACAATGTGCATATATTATTGTAATAACTTATAACTATTTATCAATTTCACTGAATCTCATAATATGTGTATTTGATTTCATATATATATATATGGCATAGCGATTTGTACATGTTGTTCCACATTTTTCCTTAACATGCGATATGTTTCAAGGCTTAGGCTCCTTTGTTCCAGGACGCCGAAGCCATGCGTGAGCTGCTGAAGGACGCAGAGGAGGGCGAGGAGCGGAACTCGGTGCCCGAGGCGCAGAGGATGGGTCACCCAAATGGGCATCCCAGTTTCGGGCTCCCGTTTTTTTAAAACCCAGGGCTGCTAAAAAAAAGGTCCAGGGCCCGATTTTTGTTTAAATGTGTTGTTTCAACGATTTTTTTCGGGCGATTGTTTGAATGTGTTTGGCCAAATTTGACGATTGGTTGATGAGTTTTGAGGATGGAGATGGGTTCAACACATAGATCTACACTGTACTTGTATGGGGATGAAGATCCATACTACCAAGCCATCTTTCTGCCAGGGCTTGATTTGTCATTTTTGTCATTTCTGCAGAGAAATATCGTAATACCGGAGGACTGTCCGTCCATGATCCTGCTGACTCGGATGGGAAAGGATGGAACAAAGCAATAGGATCCACATGGATCCACCATCCCCAATTTTACCAATGGGTAAACATCAATCTGGATCCATATGAAAGGGTGGTTTATGAATGTTTATGACATTGCTTTACTAAATGCTTTACCAACACTAGTACTACTTCGTTGCGTATGTCCATATAGGTCTAAGGACGACATGAACCCTGCCTTTCAAGGCCCTCACGGATGGACGAAACTTGATCGGAGGACTGGACCCCAAAAAGTGATGGTGTGCTATTCAAAAATGGTTTCCCCACTGAACAATGAAACCACCTGGGGGGTTTTACTCATCTTAAGTTGACATGGGTAAATATTAATTATATAATAATCGTTTTTTTTTGAAAAAAAACAAAAGAATTCTGCTAAGTTGGTGTGCAGGTGGCGCCCATTTTGATGCGGGAGAAAAGCCGCCGAGCCCGTGAGGGCGGTGCCGCGGACGTGTCCAAGGATGCCTACGAAAAAGTGCCGGTGGAGGTGTCGTGTGCATTCTGACAGGGGCAGGGCTGAATCCGAGATGGAGGTTTCGTAAGTCATGGGGGTAGCCCTAAATCATCCTTTTGAAATCAGATTTTCCAGTATAAACCAGCTACAGTATTGGGGATCCCCCATTTTAGGAAACCTCCATATGTAGATTTAAAGAATTTTAAAGATATCTAAATACATATGATTTAAAGATATCTAAAGTATAGAAAAGGGAGGAAGGGTCACCAACAGAGGATCTCAAAAAGGGATATGATTCGGGGAAAATCTGAGGAGCGCACGGAGGGTGAACTTCCCAAAGTCCAATAGATTTCATCACCTTGATGATCTTGATGATCATTTATTGTAGGATATTGTAGGCGACATACACCATTAATATAGTCTATTATAGTATAAACATCATATTTTTTTTTTAACCTTAATCAACAGTTTATCAGCTTGACAGGTCAAAATCACCTGATTCTGCAGGCGTTTGGCCTGGCCCTTCTACGTGGCATGGGCTATGACCCGGAGAAGCACAAGACCAAACCCATCTGGCACGAGAAGCCGCGCGGCAGGAACGCTACAAGAAATGGCATTGTGATGGTGATAAGATGTGATAAGAAGTATCATGGTTGGGTAATACTTAACTCTAGGATGCTACAGGATAAACCTCCATTTTCCTATGGTTTTCCTGTGGTTTTCCCAGCATAATAGATAGGTTTATTTCAAGTAACGAGATGAGCTGGTGATGTCCTGCAGGCATCAGTGCACCTCCCGGGACCGATCCGTGATGGGTTTTCCAGTGCTGAACTCTACATCCGGAGATAAGAATTGATATGAACTGATAAGACACAATAAGATATAACCCAGTGAAGCTTTCCATTCAATCAGGACGATCAATTTTTCCATCAAGAAGGCCTCCCCTACCGAATGGAACGGCTTCCAGGTCATGGCGCTCTGTTTCCGCAGCGACGGAGGGTCATTAAGCACTTACGAATCCTGGGACGATCCTCTAAGTATTGGTCCCCTGTAAGATCTATAAGTGGATGATATCCAACTTGATATGCCATGATTTTCCATTTAAAATATCTCAAATCATATGTCTCTTACAGGGAGGTTAAGGATTTTTTCATGATCAGATTTAACCATATATATCATATGGGGATGGGTCAAAACCCTGGTACCTAGTGAACCCCAAAATTGCTGGTAAATGGATGTTCATCCACCTAAAAATGGTATTAATAGGTATTGATCCATACCCATATATGACGATTCCCTTATATTTGATGCTTCAATGATGTCAACTCGCTCGTTGGTTCCTTCCCCAAGGCCTCGAGACAACCTGCTGGGTTTGGGCGTGCAGCCACTGTTGCCTTCCGAAAAGATGGCCCTGAAGAGGCCCAAGGATCCCAAGGATCTCAAGGATCCCAAGGGCGAGAAGAGTGAGAAGGCCTTCCTGGGTGCCTTAGTGTTGTTGGGTTGGAAGATGTTGGAAGACTCTGTATGATATACAGTAATATATATAATAATATATATATATATATACTATATACTATATATACATAGAGAGAGAGAGAGAGACTAGGATCACATAGAAATTCTATTCTTCATTTGTTTATTCCTTCCGGGGGAGAAGTGGCCATTTCTTGGGGCTTTTGCCAGTATGCGTCAGTGCACAGACATGGAGGATGGTGCTCATTTGCTTGATAAAAGAATACTTTGGCGCTTGCACATGGAAGACGGCTATTTGTTTCCTTGCCAGTTTATTGGAAGGCAATAGGGGCCCTAGATTTGCGTCAGGGTGGCTCAACCTCCAATTGTTTGCCGGTGCGACACAACGCCCCCCCTTTGGGGTACACCGGGTACAGCTGCCATGCGATGTCAGGAGCCCCCAGAGAAGAAGGCAAAGGAGTCCCCTTCTTGAGTGCAAGGAACATCAGTTGAGCCGCTCCCACAGACACCATGGATCTGTGGTGGATGTAAGGGATGAAACCACATATGACACCTTAAGTAATACCCTATAATAGGGTAATACCAAATATATCCATATATAATGGCACATGATACCATATATCATATATATATATATTATACAGTATATATATATATATATACAGTATATATATATATACACAGTTTCATATGAACGGGCTTCATTGAATATGAATGCAATGACCGGCAATGAAACCAGCATGCAACTGATCGATCCACTGGGCTACTCAATCCACAACTGGTTTTTACAATCCATACCCTCTGGTAAATTAACATAGCTATGGAAAATCACCATTTTGAATGGGAAAATCCACTATAAATGGCCATTTTCAATAGCTATGTTAAATTACCAGAGGGTAATATTTTTCTAGAATCCAGAATTAAAATACAATGTCCAAACCTCAATATAAATATATATATTCCAATCCACGTTTCAAAAATAAAAACGATCACGACAATTGTGCTGGACATCAATTTGAAATCGCTCCTTAAAAAAAACTTTCAAGCAATGGACTCTGTGGGGAGTTGATACAATTTGTCAAGGGGAAAGAAACTCTACAACGATGTGCCCATACCATTAACAGACAGGGTTAAATTTCCATATACTTCCCATATCTTCCAATCGACTTCTCCTATGCATATTCACAGCATTTTACACACGCTATATATATATAGAATTATATGTACATACATATATGCAGAGATGTGTCGTCCATTCATTTCCATGTATATAGCGTAGCCTTTTTCAGTTACAGCAAGACCACCAGAAAGAGGAAAAGTAAGGTGCTGCTGATTGAGGACTTTGGGGCGTCAGGCAGTGGGTTCAACTTGTGTACTCTATGATGTTCCACGTAGGAACACTTAGGGGGAAAGATAATAACAAAAAAAATGACATCTTGCGAAAAAAGGCGAAAGAGGAAGGTGATTGAGGCGAAATACATTAGCAACAAATAAACTACGCAACCGAAAATAGTTGCATTTTTCCAAAGATTCAGGGTGGCAGCTCATCGTATGGGGCGCCTCGTGTGTACTCTTTGATGTTCTATGTTGGAACATTTGGGGAGAAAAATAATAAGAAACTTTTCCTGATTTTTCCTATAGAATTCCAAATGTTTGGTGGATACTTATGGATTTCCAAGGAAAAAATCACCCAATGGGGGCATCAAGCTGCAGGGCCCTGGTCCTAGCGCCCGCCGTGCCGTGTTACGTGCTTTCGTACCAGGCGTGGAGCGGAGCGTAACATGTTTGAAACCAACCGAAAAAAACGGATTTGACTACCAAAATCAAAGATTTAATGATATTTCATTTCAATTTTATGGATTTGAATGATTTGAATGGAAAATATTGATGGATATTGTGGCATAGAACCAACAATCTCATTTTTGCGCAAAAATGACGATCCATAGCCTCTTCCTGCTTAGGTGTCTTATCACGCACGCGAGGCAGAGTATCTGATTGAATCTCGGTGGATTCGATCATTTTTTTGGGGATCTCCTAGCCAAGGTTTTGTTGGTGAACATGATTTATATATTTATGAACTATAGGAGTGATTCAAAATTTGGGATTTTCTGTTGGCATGTGTGTAGACTGGTCAAACTTTGCGAACAGGACTGCGAAAACCAACAATAAACTTCAATAAACCAAACAAGAACGTCACCGCATAGCAATATTTGAGAAAAATTGACTTGTTGGACTTGTCGCAAATCTGGTGGTTTCAATTATTTATTTTCTAAAAAACCAATGGTTTCCATTCCATCCATATTTGGCCAGATGATGCATGATGATGCCAGTTCACTAAGATTGGCAGCTTGGGGACACTTACCAACCACTCAGGAAATGATGAGAGAGGACCGGTGATTTGGACATTGGACACGGCAAAACTTGAGTTCTCAAACGACATGATGAACAACAAGGTTGATTTGGGGACGTAATTATCATTATCAAGCACCGTCCAGGTCTCAAAGGTTAAACACCAGAGCAAAAAAAAACATACTTTGAGAACATTTACCAAACCAAACCGTATTTCTTCTCCTGTGTTTCATTTTTGTTTGAATTTGATTATGGGTCAAAACCCTGGTACTCGGATGGTACCGAAAGTCATGTTTATGGTGAACGGACGATTCCCCCAGTCATATGGTACCTGGTAACTTCATAGCTTGACCCATTCGATATCCTATCTAGAATCCGTGAGGTGCCACCATTCATAGGTTTCCATGTTGGTTTCCATGTTGGTTAGAAAATCCATTCATAGGTTTCCATTGGTTTCATAGGTTTTACCATCTGGTTATTTAACATAGCCATGGAAAATCACCAGTTTTTAATAGGTAAACCATCTATAAATGGGCCATCTATACCATGGCTATGTTAAATGGCCAGAGGGATCCATGGATATCCCCAGAAAAAGATCCTGGGCAGCGAAAGGATCGGCAGAAATTTGCCAAGCGCCTGCGTGCGAAATTTGAGGCCAGTCTGGCCGCCACAGTCAACGGGAAATCTGGTGTTTGCACATGGGGATTTAACCATGATTCAACATGATTTTCCCATGATACATACCCTCTGGTAATTTAACATAGCTATGGAAAATCATCATTTTGAATGGGAAAATCCACTATAAATGGCAATTTTCAATAGCTATGTTAAATTACCAGAGGGTATAGGAAAATCAGAAGGGATTTCTGAAGGAGCTTCTGAACATCTAAGGGGACGTCTCTTTGGATCTTTTTGGAACGGGGGGATGTGCCTGGGGACTTGTCACCCTATATATGGATCAATAGAGTTATAACTAACCATTATATATATATTATATATTATATGTATGTATATATATATGCATATATATATAGAGATATCAATATCAATATATATATATATACATATTATATATGGACTTATCAAATAAATAATGCTATATCCAATTATGGTTACATAGTACCCAGAGATTAAAACGTCTATAACCATTTAAGATTTGTTCCATTTATTACGGTTATTTGTTGGATATTATGGTTATCATCCTTTAGTTGAGGGACTTCCCCAGTGGCCCGGTGGCCAGGTCGCAAGTAGGGACGTGACCAAATCCCAAATTCTCGACGACTTGGAGGCTGGAAGGACTTGACTGCAGCAGATTTCCGAATCTTTCCGGGATTTTGTTGATGTTTTTCTTTTTGGGTCCCAACATGTCAGAGTTGCACCCGCTGTTTTCCACAATTTCGTCCGTGTATGATACATATCATAGGATGAGAGGAAATTGGGGCCCTCTGTGGGGGCAGGGACCCTTCCGCACCTATTCAATGGTTCAATGCTAGACCCAGTGGGTCTTGAGAGATGAGCAATCGGTATCCAATGGGTCTATCATGGTTAGCAGCAGGGGAATCTTAAATTGCAGCATGATTCATGTTCTGTTCATGTTCTGGTGCGAGATTTGGCTGATCATAAAGCTGTGATTTGCCCAGGTGTTTTTTCCCAACACCCTGATGGACCATGATGGACCCCCTTAGGCAATGGAGCCCAACATGGGTTGAAGCGGTGAGTACATCCCCACCAATGACTGTTAACCCAAGGTATCCCAGATATATGGAGTGATCATGTGACATCATGCAACATGATTGCCAAATGGTTGGTTACTGGGGAGGGTTATGTTTCGGTTTCTACAGTATATTATAGTAAGTCTTGTCATTAGCTTGATATTATTGCAGCCAGTTGGCATCCGGTGGCAGGCTGGGGTGGACATTGAGTGACCCTAAGCCAGTCTCCTAAGAGTCCAGTGTCATTGGATGAAGGGAGAATTTACAGGAAGAAACCATTTTATTTCTTGGAAAACACGTGGTTCAACTATGTTCAACTGTTCCTTCAACAAATCCAGTGATGTTGAGTTTGCTTCTGAGACTTCACAACATCATTTAGCTGATCTAGCTATTGGATTTACAGCCACAGCTAGTGACTCAGTGGCTTCCAAAGAGAGTCGCCAGAAGAATGCCGGAGCGAAAAGGGCAGAGTATGTTGGGTGCGTTCCCATGTTATCCATGTATTAGTATGGTATATATATATTTATCCACAATTGAGGGAGTTGTGTTGTACACTATACTACACTGTACTGTATGTAAATATACTGTACTATGATGACTTGATGACTCTTGGGATGGTTATCGTTTCCAACAATGGAGGCAGGGCCTCAAATCAGAATCAATTCCCATCATCTAGGTCTTGAAATGGTTGATTAGGGCCACTAATTTTAAACGAACAAACGCTCGACGAGAACTGCAGAAAACCAGTTTATCGCTGAGAATTGATTGGACCTTGGCCTTCCTGCGACAAGGAAAGCGTGCGCATAGAATTCAAACTTTGTTATGTTTACCACTCATCCCCACAACTCGGAATTGATGAGTGAATGAGCAACAAGTATAGTATATTCATATATGATCATATATGGTGGTATGACACCCGGCGCTGTACCTTTGTGCCAAACTTCCGTGAGCCGCACGTGCGGACGGCAATGCGCGAGCGTTCGAAGTCCATGAGAGGTATCTTTCAAGCCGGGACTGGTCCATCGAACAACTGTGAAGTTGTCCTAAAATGTGGACTGTCTCAAAACGATCCATTTTTTAATGGCCAGCCAGGTTTATAGCAACCTATAATGTAGATACTTAATGATACTTAGATATTTGAATGGTGACAACTTAAAAGGCTCCCAATAATTTTCGACCCATGTGCTCTTGGAGCTCCAGATGTCCACCAAACAGCGCATTTCCCTGGACAAAATTCCCAAGTTGTTGAGTTATTTGGCTCGTAACTTAAGAGAAATAACAAGAAACACATTAAAAAAACACATTTTGACATGCGGTTGGAACATTGCCTTCATTTTTTGGGAGCACCACCTGAAGACGTAGACGTATATAGTAAGTGGTTGGCCCCGACCTCAAAGATATTATATATATG